CTATTGCTCTGGTTATAGCAAATCATTTTTTTTCTCTCAATGAATTTGTCTCTATGAATGAAAATGTCAACGACGGGTGGGAAAGAGTACACACATTTTTTTTTATATGTTCCATATTCTGCGAATATAAATGTTTTTATATTCCACAGGAGATTACAGCTAATAGCAATGTTGATTACGTCGACAGGTTCAAACCACTTTTGTTTTCATTCTTTCTTCGAAATCTTCGTTATCAAATACATAAAAACTGTGAAAGGCACACTCAAATATTTATGGCTGATTGATACTATGACGTTCTTTCTTTGATAAAGAATATAGATAGCAATGAGTCAGTCATAGTAAATCCCTATCACGAGAGAAATTCAGATAATATCGAAACCAAACCTTACCCCATATTCAACAAGAAATGGAGGAAGTCTTTCTTCATTCTCACGGGAAATTGTTTGCACTTTCCAACAGGTTGCACACCCTCCTTTGGGAGTCTGGCTGGTACAAAGTCACTTTCAAAGTCACAAGATTTTTCCTTATGTAGGATTTTGAGTTTAAGTCCTGGCTTTGAAAAAAAGATCTTATGAACTTTCTGATATAATGTGGGTCATACGGCTTCTGACCATCATCTTGCACTTTGCTATTTTACTACTAACAGCTGTAACTGAAATAGGAAGATAATTTGCCGGTTCAGAGCCAGTTAAAGCCTTTCTGGCTCCACTGGTGAACTGCCATTAAGCCTTTATGCACCAAACATGAAGTCACAATTTTCACTTTGCGTTTTAAAAGATTTTTTTTTTTTTAATTGTTAATATGAACATACCTTGTAAGTTTTATTTATTTTGTAAAATTTTATTCATTATTATATTTATTTAGATAGTGGGTCTCTTTTACAAGTACAAGTTCCTTCTTAGAGGTCCTGGCCTATTATGTATTCTGTATTTATGATTTGTACTTGGGTTTGTTTATGATGCCAAATGAACTATTATTATGTTAAGCTCCTTAGGTAATTACTGTTCATGCCTGTGACGTATACTTGAACTTCTTGAGACAGGGAATGGGTAATCATCTTATACGAAGTAAACTCATACGTACACAGTTAAAAATTTAGTGAACATGTTGTTTAAAAGTTTAAACAACTGTTGATTAACGGGTGACCTGATCTAAGAGTTGTTTAAAATGTTAAGCAACTCGAGTTGTTTAAAGTTTAAACACTTAGTTGATCAACATTTTGAACAACTTGTTTAAAATCACAATTTAAACAACTGGTGTTGTTTAAAGACGGTTGTTTAAAACGGAGCTGTTGTTCAGTGGGGGTTGTTTACACCAACTGGGTTGTTTAAAGAAAGTTGTTTAAAAAGGAGCTGTTGTTCAGTGGGGGTTGTTTACACCAACTGGGTTGTTTAAAGAAAGTTGTTTAAAAAGGAGCTGTTGTTAAATAATAATAATAATATTGGATTCTTATATAGCGCACGTATCGACCTTGCAAGGTCCTCAAGGCGCTCCAACATTACCCGGCTATGCTAGGCTGCCATAGGACATTAGTTCCGCGGCGTGACTCGAACCGTGGACCTTGTGATCGACAGTCCGGCGACGTTTCCACTCATCCACGACACGTCTACAGCTTGGTTGGCCATGATTTGAAACAAATCTTTTAGCCAACGCGCACTTTACTGGCACGTGACACATGACGTCATATGTAAACAACACTGCCTAAAAGCTCTCGTATAGTAAATAAAGCAGTCATTAAATTTTAAACAGCGAATGTTTAACAAAATTACTTTCGTTTCGAGCAACATTGTTTACAATTTGTTCAACTGTTGTTTAAGATAGTGTACAATTGTAAGTGAACATCACTTTTTTAAGCAGCGTTTTTACTGTGTATTGTTAATCTGTGCCAATAATTGTTTGTGTTATTCAGCGCTCGTTGCAAACCAGCAAATGAGCAAATTGTGGCAAATGAAAGGTTCTCCTGAGCCAATATTCAAATTTCTTACAAATATTTAGCGAAGATAACATTGAAAATAAGAAGTGTTCGACTTTTTAAATTAAAACTGTGAGGAAAAATCTCCTTAAAAACCAAAATAGAATTTCGACCATTATTATTTCATTTCACTGCGGTGAAACACGGTGTGAAATTATTAGGATCGACTGCAAAGTATGACTTCATATTATATAAATGTTATTAACTGTCATGTCGAATATTTTCTTTGTCGTGGAATGTCACACCAAGTCCATGGATACTCTAGTTGGTTCGCCGTTTCATGAACGGTTTAGTACTTAACTAGTTACTGACCCTGAAAAACAACAAATGTGGGATAACTTTGGAGTATAAAACGAATGTCCCTGTTTTGTGACCTTATATGTAATTTCAGACCTTGATACATCCGTGTAAAGAGAAGCTATCATGTCCGATATTCTGCGAAGAGTAAATTGAACTCTAGCCAAATATTATTGATGGTCAATTGTGGAAGTCATAACAGTTGTATAACCTTGGATATTTTTGTTGATGGTTTACCGAAAGTCAATGTCATATCCGTGCAGTTAGCTCTTTTCATTTCCAGTTCAACTTCAGGGAAAAGATAGTAATGGGTTTGACAGTAAATCAGTTGATGTGCATTCAGTTTTGACAAAAAATAATATTAACAATTACAATTATTATAAATAGTATTATAACCATTATCATTGTTATTATTGTTCTTATCATTATTATAAACATTCTTATTATTATTATTATTATCATAATAGCGGGTTCTTGTATAGTGCCCTTGTCTATTAGACCCGACACTCCTATTAAAGTCATATTGTCCAAGGGTGTAATTTTCAGGGGAGGTTATTGTCCAAGGGGGTAATTGTCCTAAGAGTAATTTTCCGGGGGACAATTATTGTCCTCAGAGGGTGGTTGTCCTCGGGGAGGGGAAATTTTCCGGGGGCTGATTGCCCAGGGGGTATAGTTGTCCAAGCCGCCGTAAGGCGCTACAAAGTATATTCAATGAATTTCTTTCTACCGGCTACTCATTCACTCCACCTGGGTGAACAGAGGCAAAACATTTCGCCAAAAAAAAACCTGGACCACGACACCCCTAAATCAAAGGAAACATAAGAAATGTGTTCTTACTTTACATCGCATTCGCAGTCACTGAGGGTATAGAGACGATGGTTGAATATGTTGAATTTGTTCTGCCAGCTTAGGATGGTATGAGGGCAATGGTCGTGTTCTCGGCAACACAAATCCGTTGTGTTGTGTTCTCCTAGATCATCGTAAGATCTGATAAGGATACAGACATTTAAGAACATTTTAATCATTGTGACCATTGCTGTTAATTCAAACATAATATTTGTATTGTATTCAATAAGCTTGTTTTCATTATCATACTTGTATCAGGAGCAGAGCCAGGCCATTTCGTATCAGGGGGTCTAAGATTGTCAGAAAAAGGTGGGGGCGATATTTTTTCCAGCAGAAATTTTCTTTTTAGGAACGCAATATTTCTAGAATGCCATTGCCATCGGCCCTTTCTCGCGCTTCAAAGGGTGCATGGGGTATAGGAACATTATATCGGCTTTTTAGCCCCAAACAAAGGTATCGTTTATTTTGTTCTCCTTTTTGTATCATAATATTGATTATTAACAATAATGTCAGTCATCATTATCCCCTTTGTTAAAATACTGAACCACCGACATGCAATATCTGAAATTATGAATACAATGTGTTCATCAATTTACACACGCATATAAGAATTAATACTTTATATAATTCCAAAAAGTTATACTCTTGAAATACAACATGAACATTATATGTGTCTTTATTGCATATTTTGGGGGGTGAGGTATAAAAGATGAATTAGAAACCGTCTTGGTAATATTAATGTCGATATTGAAATTGAGATATAATTCCCGTACTGTATTCATTAATTTCATTTCATCAAAAAACCTCAATCTCATTCAAAATGTGACTCGGAAAGATTAAATAATGGTTTGTGGGCGTGGCAGATGAATTTATTATATTGGTATACAATTTTATAATTAATAAAGGTCCATTAATAAAGGTTTTGACTTACTTGGCAATGCTGCCTGATCCACACCACAGCGTCCCTGGTACGATAAATATACTTCTCCTCTCTCTTCCACTTCGTTCCTCCTCCTCGGGATCCAGCTCCACGTCTGCTTCGGTGACGTCAATCTCACTGTCATCCAGAACTCGACTACCATCCCGTGATCGATCCGTCATCATCAGATGGGCTTTCAAATCTTTCTCCATATCACGACATACTCTCCGTGCCTCCATGACGTCGATCATCATCCGAATCACAGGATGAACTTTAACCCCTTTGCTGCTGAATCTGGGTAGGACAAACACATCTAGGGACTCGGTGGCGTTGTGGACGTATTCCAGATTGACGGAGGTGAACGACAGCGAGCTTGAGCGCTGCGATGGGCGTGGCTTGTGGATGATGTCATCTGAAAGAAAGCGGGAAGAGTATTTGGTGTGAAAACTCCGCCTGAAATCATCGATATCGGCTTGATTTTTAGTGGTCTTGCATTCCCTGAGATTAAACATTGGATCGTAGATATTATGAACGAGATGTTTGCCGTCTGTGGCTTGTAGTATGATCATCTGGGCACCGTTCTGGTCGCCGACGACCCTCTTGATAGCCGAGACATCGTCGAGATGGAGCGCCATCACGAGTTCGCCAGTCGATCGCGAGACACCGAGAAAGTTTTGAGATTGGAACGATGACCATGACGGTGCCGACGAAAGGGGTGACGATCCCGATGGCGAGTTCCAGATATCGTTTGCACGTGACTGCAAACTCTGTGATAATACGACCACGAAGGACAGTATCAATGACCACATCGTATCGACGTTCGACTCCACGACGTTCGACTGCGGAAATTCCCTGAGTTATTAATCAAAGCACTTTATGCTTGGGCTTAGTGATGAGTCCAGTAAGAGGGATAGGTACTGAACTAAGGCTAAAGTGTGATTGGTGCCCTTTTATATGACCATAATAGCCTCATAACCCCCGCGCTCCTCACTCGGCCGATGGGACGCAAGATCGGTGCCAAGAGCGCCAAATCATAGTCTATCTTTTTAAACGTTTTTCATACCATGAGTCCTGTAACAAAACATGTCGTAGTAATTAACACAGGCCAATCTGCGCTCTATTTCAGATAAAAGTAGAAAGAGAGAAAAAAGTTATGACACAATGAGGATAGTAAAATAATACTGTAGCATCGTTGCATACCACTTTCCCCTACATACTACCAACAGATTACCTATTCATTTACAGATAGTTTGGTAAAAAAAAATCATCCGTCTAAACATATACGTGACTTGACAATTAATAATGGAATATGCCTATTTTTTTTCTTTTGTTTTTTACGTTAAGATATTTACAATAAAGTTATATTTTACACCTATTTTTAATGTGAAATAATAAAAGATGTCAAACATGTTGACAATACACTTTATTTATACTTTGTTTGGTTGGCCAACCCCAATTGTGTTTTTTAATGGCCATCCCAATTCCTATAATACCGCTTAAAAGAAATTATACTTTATAATATTTTTTTAAATATTTTTTTCAAACTCTAATATATAGATTTAATTTTTTACCTATGTATTTTTAATGTATTTGCTGGACTTGAAATAAACAAAATGAATTAAATTGAGATTGAATAAGCCTCCAAAGTGTCAATAAAGAATATTACGATCCGTCTAGTTTCCATAATTAATAAAGGGGTCTGTAAATTAAGAACATGTTTTTGAAAAGATTGATTTGACAGGGTCTTTGTACTTTGTTTAGGAATCGGGTCGATCAGCGAACAATAATTGTATCGCTCCCCCATTGCAATAAGAGAGAATAAGAGATGAAAAGAGAGAATTCAAGAGAATGATAGAGAGGGGAAAACGAGATGATTGGGAAGGGTGCGCTAAATATTCAACAGTGCGTAAGTTCAATGACCGAAAACATTAGAGTTTCCCTGTAAAAAGTCAATTCTGTTTTCTTCGATCTGGGGGGTGCTTTACAAAGACTAAGATCTACTTTAAGTTGGACTTAACTATAGCAGGCCATTCATGCCACTCACCATTGGTCTCTCAATTATGATCTTAAGATAATAATTTTCCCTTCAATACTGAACTATCAAAAAAATGTAAATTCTGTAGATTTGTACGTCCCTTGAGAAACCAATGCCAAGAATGGTTAGTGGATCTAGTGGTATGAAAGACCTGTCATAGTTAAGTTCAACTTAAGGTCGATCTTAGTCTTTGTGAAACACTCCCCTAAGAAGTCGATTAGCCTGTATAGTCATGATTCGTGTAAATAAGGAGTGAATGGCTTCAGATAATGTTGTTCGTTACAAACGCTAGTACCCTACTGATAACATACAGAACAGACTCCTGACTTGTTCCACATCAGTTGTGACACCCACCCGCTGGTAAGGGAGATTAACAAGTGGTGTCGTGGTATAGTGGTTCATTCACTTGACTCTCAATCCAAGGGTTGAGGGTTCGAATCTCAGTCCCGGCACTAACGTCCTTTGACATTGACAAGCCGTTGATCCACACCAGCCCCTCCCCACCCAGATGTAAAGGGGACCTTGCAACTGCTTGGGTAATATTAAATGAAGGGCCCTCAGGAAGAACAGCATCGAAGCTGATTAGGCTTCCCTGGGTATACAATATTATTGTTATTATTAGGAGTAGTAGTATAGTAGTATAGTAGCGGTAGTAGAAGTAGGAGTAGTGGTAGTGGTAGTGGTAGTGGTAGTGGTAGTGGTAGTGGTAGTAGTAGTAGTAGTAGTAGTAGTAGTAGTAGAAGTAGTAGTAGAAGTAGTATTAATAGAAGTAGTAGTAGTAGTAGTAGTAGTAGTAGAAGTAGTAGCAGCAGCAGCAGCAGCAGCAGCAGCAGCAGTAGTAGTAGTAGTAGTAGTAGTAGTAGTAGTAGAAGTAGTAGTATCACGATAATAATTATTATTATTATAGCCAACACGATCGCAAAGACTTTCGTAAAATAAACCTTTTCGAGCAGTAGATGATGAACAAACTAAGCCATTGAAAATGCTTCGTTTATCACCTATATTGATTGAAATATGTGAACCTATAATGAAGTATTACGTAATGCGAGCATGACTTCTATGAAATATACGATAGGGATTGAAATTGCCTGGAGTTGATTTCTCAAAAGGCTTTGCTATCTACAAATCTACAAATATTACGATCCGTACTACAAAACAAAAACAAAAATACGGACTAATTACTGGGATTTAAATTAAATATCTCACTTTTAATATCTTCCATATTTCACCCGACCCTATAAAAAGTACTATAAAGGTTGATATATTGCACATGTGATGAAGGCCATGCATTTTGTAACGTTCCGTTGTACTGTAATAAAACAAGGTATATTATTTCCTGAAAAATAGTGGTTCATTAACGTGTTAAGGAAGTTGCTAGGTCAAAAAATTAAACGAAAAATACACGTAGGTTGGCGAATAGATTTGACTGTTTTTCATAACAATTTGAGAGAGAGAGAGAGAGGGAGAGTGAGAGGGAAAGGAGAGTGAGAGGGAAAGGAGAGTGAGAGGGAAAGGAAGAGAGAGACAGAGAGAGACAAAGATAGAGAGAGAGAGAGAGAGAGAGAAAGATAGAGAGAGAGAGAGAGAGAGAGAGGGGGTGTCTTAGCCTGTGTCCCCTACCAATCTGTATCAAGCCTAAAAGAAAAGAAAAAAAATCAAAATAATAACAAATTATACAAAAACAGACCATGGCTCACAATAACATTATGCCTGAAATTGAAGGTAATGTTATCAAAAGATTCAGAATTCAAAATCTTCTGGGAGCATGCAAAACAACAAAGGCCCTTAGCCGCAACCCACCCCCTATGTATTCCATTTACATCAATTCCGTATGTTATCTTCAGGATGTTTCTTGTTTAAGAAGGAAATTCCATGCCAGACAAGTTGTCAATTTCAAGGCCATTGTTTCCCATGATTGTTTAATAATATAATATTACTGGACAAATGTTCCCAATTTTTTCGACTCTCCATTTCTGTACTGCTTTCATAAACAAGTGCCTAACATCAGAATTACTACATGTAAAATAGAAATAGAATAAATAATCAGTAATACCTCATTTGAAAGGAAGAGTCCACCCACTCCTATGAATTTTTGATTGATTCTAAAGATTGTGCAGTCAAATAATTTAAAAGAGATAGCAGGTGTAGGTTCAAGGTGATATGGGTAATGTGGACAATGGGCAAGCAACCCATCAAAAATGTTTTAAATACGAGTTAACCAACATCCAATTGGTGTGTAAATTGTATGCATGTATTTCAAAGGTATGTCAGCATAATAGTAATGATAATAATAATAGGCATTTCTATAGCGCCGTCTATCTAGAAATTCTATTTCGAGGCGCACTAATTATTACCCCGGCTTTAGCCTAGCTGCCATTACAGCGCTCAAGCATTTCAAGGAATTAATTCCTGCCGCCTGTCGGGTACCCATTTACCTCACCTGGGTCGAGTGTGGCAAATGAAGATTAATGCCTTACCAAAGGACATTAGTGCCGTATCGGGGATCGAACCACGACCTTTGAATTTCAAGTCAAGTGCTTAAACCACTCGACTACGACACTTCTACAGAAGACAGAAAGAAGGCAAATGAAAATTACTGCAAAAACGGTCTTGGGTAAACTTTTTTTGTGAATTATGAGGTTAAAATAATAAAAGATTAATCCCTTCATAACTAGCATCATCATCACCAACATCCTCACCAACATTATCATCACCAGCATCATCACGTTCCATCATCACCACCATCATCAACATCACAAGCATCATCATCACCATCATCACCAGCATCATCATCATCACCAGCATCATCACCAGCATCATCATCATCACCAACATCCTCACCATCATCACCACCATCATCATCACCATCATCATCATCATCATCATCATCAGCATCATCACCATCATCATCACCCCCACCATCATCCTAAGCCTCATCACCATCACCAGCATCATCATCATCATCATCACCATCATCACCATCATCACCAGCATCATCATCATCATCCCCAGCATCATCAGCATCATCACCATCATCATCACCCCCACCATCATCTTAAGCATCATCACCATCACCAGCATCACCATCATAACCAGCTTCATCATCATCATCAGCATCATCACCAGCATCATCATCATCACCAGCATCACCAGCATCATCTTCATCATCACCAGCATCATTATCATCATCATCCCCAGCATCATCACCATCATCATCATCATCCCCAGCATCATCATCATCACCAGCATCATCATCATCATCATCACCAGCATCATCATCATCATCATCACCAGCAGCATCATCATCATCATCATCACCATCATCACCATCATCATCATCATTATCATCATCACCAGCATCATCATCATCAGCATCATCATGTGCATCATCATCATCAGCATCATCATCATCAGCATCATCATCATCATCAGCATCAGCATCATCATCAGCATCATCATCAGCATCATCATCATCAGCATCATCATCATCAGCATCATCATCAGCAGCATCAGCATCATCATCATCATCATCATCAGCATCATCATCAGCATCATCATCATCTCCACCACCAGCATCATCCCCAGCATCATTGTTTGACGGCTAGTATTCCAGGGGATAGCTGTCCTACAATCATACACATTATATTCAGTGATTTCAATCATTCACTAGTTCGCAGGCACAGTGTCTGCACTGTGAGACTAGGCTGAGAGTATACTGCATAGGCTCTGTACTTTATATACTCCGGATATACTCACTGTTGTTGTTGTTGTTGTTTTAATTTATAGGCGTTTTTCATTCAGAAGTGAATATTTACGCCTCTTCTCTCAGGATTTTTATTCCTTTAAAATTAGATTTACTTTTTTTGATATATAGATTTGAATAAATTGGATTTTTAAAAGCTAAACTTTTATTTAATGATGAAGAATTCAG